CATACTGTCATGGCAACACTCACACGCATGCTGGATGCTAAAGCAAAAATACTTACATCGTACTCCGTGCCAAAACAGTAAACTAGTTAGCAAACATGCATGTCCTAGTTCATGTTAAAAGTGGCTAATGCATCACATGCAAAATGCGATCTAGGAAGGCTCGGCTAGCCCTAAACATGGTATGTGAAAATGCACAATTATCACATATTCGGTTTAGAATTTGAAATACAAATTTAGCATGATGTACCGAGCTTAATGCATGTAATACAAATGCATGGATGCACGCATGCATAGCATAAGGTATGCTAAATTAAACGTGCCCTAATCTACCATCATAAGCAGGTAAATAAAAGGGAAGAAAGAAATGGGGATTGGAAGACATACACACCACCCACACACACTTATTACAGATTTGCCCCCATTACAAATTGAATTATTATACTCCTGACTATGAAACCAAAGATACTGATATCTTGGCAGCATTCCGAGTAACTCCGCAACCTGGAGTTCCACCTGAAGAAGCAGGGGCCGCGGTAGCTGCCGAATCTTCTACTGGTACATGGACAACTGTGTGGGCCGATGGACTTACTAGCCTTGATCGTTACAAAGGGCGATGCTACCACATCGAGCCCGTTGCTGGAGAAGAAAGTCAATTTATTGCTTATGTAGCGTATCCTTTAGACCTTTTTGAAGAAGGTTCTGTTACTAACATGTTTACTTCCATTGTGGGTAATGTATTTGGGTTCAAAGCCCTGCGCGCTCTACGTCTGGAAGATCTGCGAATCCCTACTGCGTATGTTAAAACTTTCCAAGGACCGCCTCATGGCATCCAAAAACTTCCTGCAGAAGACAATTTGACAGCAAACAGAGAACAGACAGTGCATGGCATGGGGTTCTCAGGTACATGTGGGCATGGTTGTGCTTCTTATCATGTTTTGAACTCAAAGAAGCACGACCCTTGATCTTTGAGCCATCAATGGAGCATGATGACCCAAGGGATCAAATTCGCCACTCAATGTAAGGATGCATGCAACAAACAAAATGAGATCCGAAGCCTTTTCATGTCGAAGTCAAAGGCCCCGGTGACCGAGAATCAAGGTACATTGCATCACTTGGAGTATGAATGTCCCTTGACCCTCATATTTGGCTTGACACCCCAAGCCAAATGATGCAATGCATGTTATGCTCACAAGGCTCAAAATACAACATGATGCTAATTATGCAAGATATGCCAAATGTCATGCAACAAATATGACAAGTATGTAATGCTAGTATGCAAGATGCAAGTATGATACAAACATGAACCAATTTGGCAATGGGATTAACATACTACAAGGCTTAATGAAGCAACCATGCAACACACATGAAACAAGCATGCAATGGGGCCTTGAACCATAAAGGGACAGACCTTAGTCCACCCCAAAACAGTGGCCAAAAAGGTGCCAAAGTAGTGGACAAACAAGCATGGAAGCATGCACACTAATAGGCCCAAAATTAAGGCACAACAAAGGAGCATCTTGCTATCACTACCCCAAGCCAACATGGTATGAGCCATGCAACCAAAAATGATATTTGAATACATTAACAGCCCTAAAACCCAATGATATGGCAACCTTGAAGGCTCAAACACTTAGGCATACAAAATATTCATTTCAAAGCATAAAAGGGGAACACCTTCAAAGCATGAAAGGAATGATAAATACAAGCATGCTAACATGTTTTGGGGACTGAAATGACATGGCAAACAACTTCAACTCATTAAAGTAGACCAACTAAGGCAATTTACGGTTCATACACTTGAGGGCTCACAAGCCAAAATGCATAGCAACCATGACAAACATGTCAAACATGACCGAATTGATAACCAACAGATTTTAAGCATGGAAAAACAATGCTAAAAAAACTTCTTAGTGCCAAACCAAAATCATGCTCAAATGGTGTGTTACAACATGGCACTCTCTAAACCAAATAATGGGATTTCAAAGCAAGTATGCTAAGCATGTAAAGGGGCCATAAATCCGGCCAAAAACAGTGATCCCTCATGACCCAAAAACACCCAAAAAGTTCTGAAATAAGGCAAAAAACCAAGCAAGCATGCATGTTACCCTTTTGGGCCAAGACTCAAGGAAACAAGACCATAAAGGGAGAGGGGTGTCCCTCCCCTATGCAAGACTTCAAACCAACTTTTTCAACACTAAAAATACACTGATTTTCAGTGGTGAGGAGATCAAAACACAAAGGTAAGCAAGGCTTAACCAAAGAGGCAACAAAAGTGGCCAAACAAGGCCTAATAGGGTGAGTTTGCACTCAAAACACAAAACAACCTTGATGAGAGTTCTAAAGCATGAAAATATAAGCCTAATTGTTATTTGTTATTGAAAACAAAAATGAAAGGTCCAAAATCACAGAGATCTTCACATCAAGAGTCTCTGATTTTTCTCTGTAGAGCTTAATATAAGTTCATCAAGATTTAGGTAAAGTTTGACTAAATTAAAAAAGTACACTTATTTCATCTTTTTATTTTTTTTAAGTCACATTAATCAACATTTACTCTCTACTTTTTTTACACATAATACAAAAAAAATTAAAAAATACACTTATTTAGTCTTTCCAAACGTGACCTTAAACTCCAGAAACGATGTGCATTGGGAGGAGGCCCTGATAGGTGTCGCAATGCACTTGATGATTGTGGTTTCTGTGTTGTCGAACCTACGTGTAATATAAATCTCAAATATTTAGGATGTCAAAAGAAGTGTAAAAATAATAATAATAATAAATAAATAAATAAAAACTACACAATTGTCAAATTTTACCTGGAAATGTGAGTGATTTTGTTCAAAGCTTCGTTGATTTGCTTTCCCCTCGCAATCCAAGTAAAAGTGTACTGATTTTTTTTTCTTTAATAGATTTTTTTAAGGTAAATGACATTTATTTTCCTTTTGAATAAAGTATAATTAGTCTTATATTTTTTATATAATTATATTAGTTTTTTTAATATAATTAATTAAACGACTGAAAGTAATATCAACCATTCATTCAAATAAACAAAAGATAAATATATATTTCGTTAATGAAAAATGCTTGGGACTTCATTTTTTGGGAGATCCCCACAATTCGTTTTAAATCTCAACCATTGATGTATATGTGAAATCCACTCATGTATGTGTAGGGTCCACACCATTAATAGTTGAAATCCAAAAGGGTTATAGGGGTCTCCAAAAAATGGGGTCTCAATCATTGTTGTTTCATTAATACGACTAACAAAATCAAAAAAATACCTAAGTGTTATATGATTTAAAATCTTAAGGGAGGTCAGTGTAATTATGTTAAAAGTATAAGACCAACCGTCTTTTTTTAATCCTCAAGGGAGATGAGTGTAATTTACAAATAACAAAAACCAATTTTGAGAAGTAGGTAAAAAACTATTTTTTTTTAAAAACGTGTAAAAAAAATAGAGAGATGATGTGATCTAAAAAAAAATAAAAAAACCAACTTTTTGGCTTTTAATCCAATTGCCAAAATAGATCCGTATAATTATATTAAAACGTTTTTTTTTAAACCTCGAGGGAGTTTAGTGTAATTTATTATTTTTTTTATACAAATATTTCACTTTTTTAAGCATTTACAATATATATAAATATATATATATATATATATATATAATAAAAAATATCACGAAAAAACAAAAAATAATTTTCAAAAAATAAACCAAACAAGGTCTATACTTCCCAAATGCTTGTCTAGCTATGCATAACTCTTCTTTTTGTCTTCCTCCCTTTTTCCCTTTAACGGGTAATTTTCATCCGTATAATGGGTAAGGATGGTGTAAGATGATGTTTAGTTCATCGAAATAAATATAAAATAGGATAATCATATTCTATCATAATGTTCAAAAAAATATTATTTCTAACATTTGTTTTATTAAAAATTAATAATAAATTATAAATAAAATCATCATCTACTTGGTGAATGATCATATTGCGTGAATGCTCTTGAGAGAGGAGGAAGGAACTAATGTCCATGTGTTTTTGCAGCAAAAATCAATTTTGTCCCTAGAGTGGAGGCATGTTGAATGAGATGTATGGAAGATTTCCAAGTTATAGCTTATTATATGATTGATTGCAAGATACTTTAAATAGTATTTTTCTATAAATTTTTTTTTTTTTGATCAAAAGAAAATTCCATTAAAGATAGCCAAACGACATTCACAGAAGAGTTTATCCAATAAATAAAGCATATATAAAACAAAGTAAAAATATTATAAGAAATACAATGGTGAAAAATTATAAAAATATCCAAACGTACAACAGTGCTCGTGCTCGTACTACGAAACAGAACCGATCATAAGAGTTCGGCGTTAAAACATGTCTGAGATAAATCATAGATTACAATCACAGAATGGGTAAGTTACAACCACAGATGGACTCTAAGAACACAACCAAAAACCAAATAAAACAAAGCAAAAATAGGAAAAAATGACTTGACCTCAGACTCAAAACAGCCATATCCAAGGTAGATCTGGTGGCGGAATGTTGGTGGCAACTTCAGTGTGAGTCGGCGGAGGGGGAACAAGGCAAATCTAGCATTGGCGGGAAAGGGAGAGGAGAATTCCAACATTAAACTTCCACCAAGAGGGGAAGAACACCACCCATGGAAGGAGAGAGTGGGAAGACAGAGCTCCCATAGTTTATTGAACCAAAAAGGGTGCAGAAGAGAAAAAGGAGGGGAGGGAGGAGAGAGGTGGCCCGAGGCCCGCTCCCCCTCCCCAAGCGGCGTTCCAAGCAAAACCCTAATGTTGTGTTTGGTTGGGAGATTTGAGAAGGGATTTAGAAAAATAAAAATAAAAAGTTATGTGAAATGTGAATAAAATATACCTACATTTCACATAGTTTCATACACTTTCCCCTTTCCCTTTCCAAATTTCCCAACCAAACACAGCATAAAGGAAAGAATGTAGAGAGAGAGCTCTCGCATTTTTTCTATGATTGATTGTGCTACAATTGAAGCAAATATCAATGGTGTGTATATATATATCCATCATGTCATCATTTTAGAACCAAGAAAACACTTTTCTTTCGCACTGAGCATGTCAGATTACAAAAGACTACTCTGGAACACTAAATTATGCATCTTCTACTCTTTATGCCTCTCTGTAGATGTCGAAACACGCTACAAAACATAAGGTTTTTTATTTGCCTCTTCAATCGAGTTTTGCTCTTTCTAGTCTAAAGTGTATGCACATGAGAAAACAAACCAACGATGACCCATCTGGCCATCTCTCATTTAGAAGTGTTCATTGCAGAGCAATTGCAGTGGCAGAGCAGTATCAGGATAGGAACCAACTCCATTCACTTGGTATTGCCCTTTATATCTGGAAGAGGGCAACGATGAAGTGACACCAATAAGCTGTTGTTGTGAGATTGGGGCATACCTAGGGCCAAGTACTTCTAGCGAATGATGCGAAGGATGTGGGGGAATGGATTGGACATAGTGGATTGCAAGAGAAGGGTCTTGTTTTCCGTTTTGCCAGCTGGGAGTGTGGGATGCGGCAAGTCCCACAGGCTTGTATTGCGCTGCCAACTGAGCTGTCCACATCCGTTGTTGCTGCTGTTGTTTTGGCGATGCAGCGTTGCCCAAATAAGGAGGGCCCAAAATTGAGCTTCCCAGGTATGGAGGCGGTTGCATTTGGACCTGTAATAAATAACGGATGACGAATGCTTGGTGCTCATGATGGCATTTACATTCAATAAACCGAAAAATATGAATTATTTACTAACATAGAAACCTAACTGGATAAGAACTTAAAAATTGATCCACAAAAGAACCTTCATTTGGCCGGTGCTTATGGAGTTGGATATTACCCATCTACTATTGAATTGGCTCTCACTATCCGGTTTGGAGTGAGCTAAATAAGGCAAAATGCCAAAAAAATCCTTTTGTCATCAGTTGAAAAAGTTAAAAAGTCGCTCAACTTTTTCATTCACAAAAAAACAACTTTTTTACCAACTTCTCAAATGCACCAGCTTTGTTAGATTCTAAAAAGGCAAATAACTACTAAAACAGACAATAACGCCAAACTCCAAATTATTGGATACAATGATTTTTTATAAACAGGGTCCATCAATTGGTTCATTGCGTGACAGGACTGAAGTAGGATGAGAGGAATAAGAAATGACCATTGCAAAACCATGCTTTCAGTGCAGTAGCATTCCAAGGCAGACAAATAGACAGAATTAAAAAGAGAGCAAATCACCTGCTTTGATGCAGCTAATGATAGATGGTCACTGAAAGGAGTGGAGGAAAACCGATTTTGGGGGAGAGAGAACTGCATGATTGTGTGATTTTGCTCGAGTGATTGCATGTAAGGACTGTGAAATTGTGTCAATGGATCCAATCCCCCTCCGATTTGATCAATACGATTAGTAGCTCCCACCCCACTACAACCACGACCACCACCACCTCCAGCTGACAAGGACAAGAAATCATAACACTGCAAAAACCAAAATATGGTTCAGAATTATACAAAAGAAGAAACTTCGATTGATTCAGTAATGGCATTACCTGCTTTTGTGGAGAGTTAAGAGGCAACAATGTGGAAGCCTGTTGCTGATCTTGAAGAAGCCTCGTGTGGAAAAGATTAACATTCCTAACTTCATCTGGATTCTTCTCAGCAGGAGAACCAACCGTGTTGTATGCAGAAACGGCTCCATTTAGGCCAGTTCTCACCCCGTTTAGGCTGTTGGGTGTTGAAAGAACTCCGTTTGGTCCTTCATTCAGTATCAACTGAGTAGGCTGCATAGGCAACCTGTCTGTTTTCTCAGCAATTTCCAAGACCTTAATGAGACGGCATATGTAAACATGAGCTGAACATCTCTTCCATGACTTCTTCTTTCTAGCAACTAGAGCTCTAGAATCCTGTATTATCAATAACAAACCATAAAACTGGTCAAATACTTGTAAATATTAAATGCGCCGTGAAAGAACAATAATTTTTATTTACCTTTACAGTTAAAACACCATTATCCAATGAACCAGGTTGGGTTGCAGAAGCTGTCATACCCAACCAAGCAGGAATCTTAGGGGTGGATAACCTGAAAAACAAGTAAATGCATGAGACTGGAAAGGAAATTAAAAGTATCCTGAAAATTGAATAAAATTAAGAAACAAAATTACTTCAAGGAAGGTCTCTGAGTGCCATCACCATTGGATGCTGCTGAAGACAAGCCTGGCCACAATGCCGAACCTAAAGATCAAAAAACCAATTTTTATGCCAAGGTCAGAATACGGATATGCAAAGCTAGAGCCAACAACCAGGTTCTGAACTCTAAGCGAGCACGCAGTGAATATAAAATAACAACTGTTATGCAAGTGAGAAGTGCACCACTATTTTTACTCTCCTTCAGGGTGTGATGTAGTTCATGTTGACTACTGACAACTGCAGCCTGAACAAATAATCCAAAACCGCCACTTTCAGTCAATCCAACTAGTTTCTGTTTAAAAAAATGATTCTGAAAACTCAACCAAACAGGGTGACCTAAATTGGAAACTTACTTTTCCCACTGCAATCTCGGGTTTTCTCACACAAGCTGCAGCTTCCTCATGTTTGGGCAGCTTAGAGCTGCAAGAAGATAAATAAAGCATAAGACATATTAATATAAAATAAATAAAAAAAAACAGAAAACATAAAGTTAATGCACCAAAGCTGAAAGCTACTCATCCAGTTTCCAGGCTTAGTTAAGATTGAACATTGCAACCAACAGAATTGCAGGCTTGTTTCCCACAGATAGGTTCGCTCTTTGACATTGGAAACATTGCTTGGACATTTCGTTGAGAAATGGTATTATCCAATTCTGTAAGCAATTGGGTGCTGTTGGGAAAACTAGGTTGTGATGATTCCTTCAAACATTTGACTTCTACACTGTCATGAGACGATCCTTCTAACAACGAAGGATTGACAGCCTCAGCCTCAGAAGTAGTTGAAAGGCAAAGTGACTTTAAGTCCTCTTCCTTTTCAGGAGCTGCAGAACCTGATGAATTAAACAATTTAACGTAACAAGACAAAGAATGCAAAGAAGAAAGAAAAATGAAATGACATATATACAAATCAAACCTTCACATGCAGGCCTTGAACTCTCTCCCTCAGGCAAATGCCAAGATTTTGGTTTTCCCAATTCACCATCCAAGCCATTCTTGTTATTGTTTGGGAACATATCAGCCAAGGCATACAGAGTCTCTACCACTTCTTCCTCATCTTTTGTGATTGGCCGGCTTGGAGATCCATCTAGATCTTCTGGTTGCTGCAAATCCAATTCCGGTGTTAAACACAAAATGGCAAATTGAGGAAAATTGTAAAACATAATCTGAAATTCGGAGGAAGAGATTACTACTACATTCAGTCTGGATTTCTTTATGCCCGGTAATTCAACTCCATTGGTCCCATGGTTTGTCTCCTTCTTATCTGGGAATGGTGGAGAAATGGATTCACGGTTGCGCTTCTTCATGGTTGTAAATGTAAAAGAATAATTCCTCAACCTTATTAAAATCCAATCAAGTATAAATTATTGAAATCTAAAAATCTATCGAGAGCATTCAATTTTCAATCTTTTTTTTTTCCTTTTATTTTCTGATTTAGACAAGATGTGATAAATAGATAGATGAAAATTGCAGAATACATAAAGTATATAATATCAAATAAAAATTACAGAATCTTTCAATCTGAAAAAGAAAGGAAAAGCAAAGGAACAGTTCGGCAACAAAGCATCAAAGATGAGGAAAGTTCCAATTAGACCCACCAGATAGAGCCGAATTAAAATCTGTGGGCTCCAACTAACTAACCCGAAAATCAATCAAAAAACTCCAATTGACCAGAAATCGAACAAAAAGTAGAAAAATTTATATTCTCGTTTCACAAATTACACACCTGACCGTAGCTTCCGAGGAACAGAGGCATGATCAACTGTGTTGCATTCATGAAAAACCTTTTGGGGAAACCTAAATCTCTTGCTAATACTTGTCGTGTTACGAATCTCATCTTCAAATTCAGACCCAGCACAACCCATTTCGCCGTTTTCGTTACTAGAATTCACTTTACCAACAACGCTCAATCTTCTCATTCTTTCTTTCTTCAATTTCTTCGAGAAAACAGTGCCCTCAAAATTATTATTCATACCTTCAAATCAAAACAAACATTCACAAGAAATTATATGAGTTTTGAGAAAAATCGAATAAGGGACAACAAAGAACAACCCAGAACAGGGCAGATAATAAGAAGACACCCAATATTAGCAAATGCTTATCTCAAAACCAGGAGAAAAAAAATTAAAAAAATTAAAAAATAACTAAGAATAAACAGGTAAAGGCAGACAGCCATTAATGAGTTTTGTTGTTTAGCTACAACAAAAAAAACGTAAAATTCAACATGTAAATTTGTCGTCAAATGATTACCAGATTGCTTAATAACTTGTGGATTTGCAGGCGAGGACCGACTCGCTCCTCCACGCCTCATGTCTCGATTCTTGTCCATTTCCTAGACGATAACAGAAACACAAACATCGAATTGAAAACGGCTTCAACGGCCCAAAATTCGATCGAACCCACCTCAGATAATGCTTCCAAAAACAAACCCTTCAGAGAAAGGTGAAGAGCAAGAGAGAGAGGGAGGCCAATCGTTCTTCTCTCGCTATGGTGGAAGAGAAGAGAAAGGTGAAGAACGGTGGCCCCGACGCTTGACCGTTGGACTTCGACAATCTCTGCAGCTTCGGCTATGGTGGAAGAGAGGAGGGAGGAGAAGAGAAGAGCAAGAGCACGAACCAGACCAAGAGAGGGAGGCAACTGACTTGGGACCGTTGGACTTCTGATTTTGGCAACCGGTTAGACCGGTTGCCAATTCAAAATTAAATTATTAAAATAATTTAGTTATATGATAGTTATAAGATAATATGGTATATATAAATAATTAAATATAACTAAGTTATGAGTTAATATGAGAATAGTTATGATTTATATGATATTAGTTATGATATCAAACCACATAATTTTATAACTAATGTATGGTACATCCAAATGTACCATAGCATCACCCATAAAATGATATGCAAAGTTTTGAGGGATTTTGAATACTAACTCTCAGAAAATTCTCTCCCGATTATAAATCTCAAAAAAATTCTAAAAGTCATAAAAAAAAAGAGTTGTGCAAATAATAAATGGAATACCGCAAAAATATTTTTTGATGTGTTTGTATAAAAAATCATATTTGAAAACTAATTTAGGTAGGATTTGGAAAAATCATTCTAGTTATCGATCCCTTTAAGTCAAGTGACCAATCACTTTACTTTTATAGTGATCGATTCCTATCAAACTCATATCGACATTGTCTTCTGGAAAATTATGTATCTTTATTTCAAAATAGGATCGATTGCATATCAATTGTTAGTCAATCACCTTCCACTAAAAAATTCTTTTATCATAGGATAGATCACCTAGGAATAGCTTATTAATCGTTAGTCTTTGAACGAGCAATCGATCTCATCCAAAAGAATTTCAAAAGAATATTTGTTTTTAACCACAGATTCCAAGAACATTTTACATTCCCATTACGACACTTCTTTTCAAAATCCTTTTTTAAGTGAAACCTTTTTTTAAGAGATTGAATCTTAAGTTGTCTAATCAGCATTTGGTGTGGGTTTAATGCTCCCTTGCTATGCGAGTTCTGACTTAAAGGGAGCTTGTTTTGGGAGATCGGGATAAGTTCTTAGATTATAGTCTCCTCACTCGGAACGGCTAACAGGACACCCTGGTGATCTTTGCAAAGGGCACTACTTTGGACCTGCGGGAGAGTAGGAAGGATTTTCCTGTAACCAAAAAAAAAAAGAAAAAGAAAAAAAAAACAAGTATGATAATTTTACCAAACTACTCCTAAATATCCTAAAATTCCGTTACAACTTGGTTTTGTCATCAAAATTTGCCAATTAACCCTATTGTATTACAAGACACATGATAAAGTTAAGAACTTGACAAACTTTTTGACCCGTTTATTTTTTGAGGTAGAATGGATGTCATTGATAATGAGGGGATTGTTAGTGAGAACATTAAGTAAAATTGTGTTTATTTTGATGGTAGTTGTTAATGTGGGGATTGTTAAATTATTACCCTATAAAAGAAATATAAAATATTAAAACAAATAAAATTATAATTTTTACTTAACAAAAAATACAAAACATTAAACATTAATGTTTAAAAAAAATGCCCAACATGTAAATAAAAAAATAAAAAACCCTAATCTCATGGGACTAATTTCTTAATATCATCTGTACCTCCTCCATCTCAATCCCAACACCCAAGCCCATCCTAATCCCATGGGATTATGAATCCCCTCTCAATCTCCCAAAACAAACACAACATATAATGGGTCTCACCTACATCTCAATTTCACCTCTATCTCCCAAACCAAATGTATGTCCCATGGATTCTTTCAAGAAATTATATAATAGAATGATTGAATTAAACCGTGTAGAGGGAACTAACTAACAATTTGAAAAAACTAGAAATCCTCTAGATGTTGATTTGTGATTATGTATCAATTTTAAGCAGTAAACAACAATCCCAATCAAACAATCCCAATCAAACAATCAAACAATCAAGACAAATCGACATAACGATTTTACGTGGAAAAATCACAATTGGACACCTCCAATTGTGATAAAAAAACCACGGGCAACAGCCACTAAACAATCCACTAAGAAGATATAAAGCAATTACACAGGTATACTCTCAATTACCTAGCGAATCCATGCCCGAATTGAACCAACCTCTATGTGCCTCTTCCAACCCCGTCTTCACCTCGGAATTGTCTTGACGATGAGCCACTCCGGAATCCGCCAAAGCTTTAGGCTCGAATTCTTCAGAATCCACTGAAGAATAACCCTCTCTTTTGTGTAGAACAAACAAATAATCCTTTGATGTATACTCTTTAAACCATGAGTTGAATACTCAATCAAAACATCAAAGAAAACTAGCAAAATATCCCCAGACATAAACCTTAAAACCCAAAAAGAAGATCTGGAGAAGTTATCCTAGATTTGGACTGAAACACGTATTTATAGAAAACTGTCCCGCGATCTCCGCTCGAGTGTCGGATTGGCCGCTCGAGCGGACCTATGCTCAAGCGCGGAAAGTTCCGCTTGAGCGGAAAACAACAACATCTAGTATTTTTGCAGGCGAATAAACTTCTGGAACTCAGCATTCTCCGCTCGAGTGGGGGAATGTCCGCTCGAGCGGACAGGTAACTTGGAATGCATTTTTGCATTTTGCTTCGGGGGCGCTGCCCCTCGACCCCGCCCCGAACCCGCCAAGGGACGCTGCCCCCTCGACCCCCGCGAGCTGATCGGGCAGCTTGATCCCCGTCATAATCAGCGAAGTAGCAATCTTGAAAGAATTAACATCACAAACTGCTCTACAAAGCACGATTCGGGTTGGATTCGCATCTAACAACTCATATCCTCACTGAAATAAAAATGCGAATAAAATTACAACACGAAGGAGTTTTGTTAAACGGGATTGCCAAGAATAAAACCTAACACAATTGTCTTCTCTAACTGCAATTTAAATCAACCTTTTTAGAAACAACTCTGCTTACTTTCAGTAATCAAGGGTGAGGGTCAAAAGCCAATGAGCCATTCTTTCTCTTCATTTGTATAAAATGAAAATAAATAATAATAATAATAATAATAATAATAATAATAATAAAATATACATTCCATGGCCAAAAGGTCACTAAAAAATTTCAAAAATGTAATTTCTTGACTAGGTCATGTAAAACATGGATGATCTCAATCTACGTCACTTATATGACTGATGCAATATAATCAAGCTGAACTCACACTTACCAAATAAAAAAGTTGGATAATGTCAACCTAATAATTATTATACAATGTAATTTTGATTGTAACTTAAATTAGTACTCTCTCTCTCTCTCTCTCTCTCTCTCTGTTTTTGTTATGCAGTTGAAAGTGTTTAAGTTTGCAAAGAAAGTTGTTCAAACATCATAGGTTGGTTTGTAAAATGAACACACACACACACACACACACACACACACACCAAAGAAGGGGCAGTACATATGTAGTTAGACCTAGTAAACTTAAAACTTGTATTCAAAGCACCTATATGTAACATTTGATACTATAATTTGGTCGAAGGTTAATCTAACATAACTGTTAAATTGATATTTTCATTGAAGACAACCCTAGTTAGCGTCTTGCTTAATTGGTAACAACTTAAAAATTTAGAATGAATTACATTTTGCACCTTTAAAATATTACCTAATTCTCTTTTTGACCCGTAAACTTTTAATCTAGTATGTTATAATTTAATAATCAAACTATTAAACTTTTGTCAATGTGATTCAGTTTTCCATCCATCCATCATTCGCCCAAAACTTCCATCCATCCAATTTTTAGTATTAAAAAATAAATAAAAAAAAGAAGGAAGAAGAAGAAGAAGTGGTACTAAAACTTTTTATACTTTAACGCCTTAAGTATTACATTTTTCCACTTTGAGCCTAATGTTAAACATTTTCTACTTTGGCCATTAGTTCAATATGTTGAGTGTATTTGACAAAAATTGGATCACATTAACAAAAATATAATAGTTAAGGGATCAGATTGTTAAGAAAATATTAACTTTAAAGGCCAAAATAAATTAGTAATTTAAAAGTATAATGTGTAATTTATCTTAATTTTATTAAGAAAGACCTCAAAGAAGCATCTCCATATCCATGCTTGACTTGTTCTAAAAAAGCATCTCCATATCCATGCTTGACTTGTTCTAATAGTTTAAAAACTTTTGTGGTGCACACCCTCCAAAAGGATTACATGGTACAGAAGTCCACTTATGTTCATTTTGTCACATAAAAAATTAAGATTAATATAACTAATTAAATATTTTTTGGTTAACTATATTAGATTATGAAAAATATTATAAATTCATAATTTAATCACAATCACATAGTAAAAAAGTTGAATCTTACATAATTGAGTTTGTCATAAATCAAATATTGACACATAATATTTAATGCCAATGTGAATAAAATTAGAAACAACTTTATAGAGATATCATTGTTTTTTCTTCACGTTATTCTCAAGTTGCATAAAATAATCAATTTTAACTAAATTACATATGTAATCCTAATCAAATCATATTATGTATTAATCCAATCACATTGCGTCATAATTATTGAAAACATATGATCGAGACACAGGTTTCCACACCATAAACTGACCCATCATGCATTAAATAATAATAATAATAATTTTAAAAAAAGAAAAGAAAAAGAAGCTCCAAATGAGCTGATTGCCAACAGGGTATAATTGCATGAAGCACTAACACATCTTTCCTACTAACGTGTTCTCATGTTTCATTTCACAGGGAATCCAAACCCATGTCCAAGGTGATGCATCCATGATAGTTTTGTCATACCTCAGCCTCTTTTTCTTCTGTTTTTATATTTGATTTTATTTATTTGTTTAATTAAAAAGTTGCCATCAAGGAGAGCTTGTTAAACGATCAAAACTTAGCCGTGGCTGGGGTGGTTGATGAGTTCCACTGGTGTCTTGGTGGTAGGTTCCTTCCTATGGGTTGGGTTAAATTAGGCTGGCAACCGGTTACCTCGAGGCCTGGACCTACGGATGTAGTGATGACACCTCAGAATAACTTTTTTTTTCATAGGTCAAAAAAAAAAAATGAGAGCTTGTTAAAATTTGCATGAACCAGGGACTCAATGTCAATTTTGCCCCTCATTTCATTGTGAGGTTTAGATAATGCAATAGGTCAGAAGTAGCTTAATCATTAATTTTATTATTTTTTTTAACTTTTGGGAAAAAATGATGAAAAAGTGAATATCAATGTTACATATAATATATATTCTCTGTAAATTTACGTATCATATTCTGTATATTTGTTAGCACCATAAATCTGCAATTTTTAT